TTTAGGGTTAGGGTTCAGGGTCTGGGGCTTCTCACCTTCTTGTTTGAGCTAGCCTGGCATTGAGGGCTCTTGGGGCTTTTGCGGCTGGGGCTTGGGGATTAGATCGGGGGTTTAGGTGTTTTTTGTCAGAGGCAGTAGACTGCCAGCTAAAGAAGCACCTGTCAAGTTCAAACTAACGAATTCGGACGATCCACGGTTTAGGGTTTAGGGTTTAGGGTTTAGGCCATACACGTGTGCAGTTTGGGGCTTGCCGGCCAAGTTGTCGGGGTGATGTTGCGATGAAGACTAACAGAAATCATTCGAAACTCAGGATGACTCTGCTGCGGATCTTTCTTTATCAGAGGTTCATAGACATTTGTATCTATACATATATATATATATACATGTATGGACATACATATACATGTTACATATATATATATATATAGTAGAGCCCAGTACTTTCCGAACTCATGCCGCTTGTGATGAAGAATGGCTCCATATTGACTTCACGGTAAGTAGGTAACTAGGACTCCCCGACCCGAAAGGCCCAAACCCTAAACCCTAAACCCATTCAAGCCAATTTACAACAAAACCGTTGCAAACCCAGCTCCAAACCCTGGCACTTCCTAGGCCTTGAAAGCCCCAAAACCATGAGCCCCTGGTCATGCTCCAACTGCAAGCTTCAAATCCAAGAACTCTAAAACCCTGAAGCCCAATGACCCTGAACCCCTCCAGCCCTACAACCTACAGCTTCAAAGCCCGAACTTCTTATAAAGCCTTGACGACTTCAACCCGAAAAAGAAACCGAATGCATTGTACCCCCGCCCACAAGAGGCACTTTCAGGGAATACTACTATTCAGTGTTCCGAGCCCTATGCGAAACCCCTACAACCCCCAAGAAGCACAAAACTCTCCAACGGGCAAGCCCACGAAAGCCCGATCACTCCGCAACCGAAAGCTCGTAAACTCTAAACAAAAGGATTTAGCAACACTACAACTAACGCATCATCACCACCACCTTCATCATCATCATCATCATCATCATAATCATCACCTTATAGCAGAATGATACCACTGGGGTTCAGGGTGTAATGGACTCTGGAGCCCCAAACCGCCCGCTCCGCCTCTTTGCGTGCACCTCGGGCGTGATCGGAAATCGCCAGGCAGCGAAGGTCGCCAAAACCACTAAGGCTGCGGGGATTGGCCCCACGAGCCAGCCTTCTTGTGTTTCGGGATTTAGGGCTGTGGGGGTTCAGGATTTATAATAGGGCTGGTAAAGGCTTCAGTTCCAGTTCATCTTCGGGATTTCCGAAGGGTTCAGGGTGTTGGGATTGGAGGGCCTAAGCTTTCAAAGCGGAGGGATTGAGGGTCCCTTCGGCTTGGAAAGCTCCCAGGTGTGCAATTCTCTAAATTAGGGCCACGTTTACAAAAGGGACCCTAAAAGGGACCCTGATTTCGAGACCCACCCACATCAGTGATGATGTTGCTGGCGCTTATAAGTCAGTACTCGTAGAACTTATTTCAGGGCTCGGGGGCCAAGGAGATGGGAAGATGTGCGCTCTTTGATCCAAACCTTCAATTGAACTGGTAGTAGAGGATTTGACCATGATTCAGAAAAGCCATGCAGTGTGCAAAATGTCTACAGTGTGGCCTCCCGAATGGGCAGAAGAGTGTCGGGAAGTACCGATTGCGAAGCTTGCCCTAAACCCTAAACCCTAAAGCAAGTCATCCCAGTCTCCCACTCCTGCAGGTAGGCACCAAGACCAGCCTGCTCTAGAGCCGAAAGCTTCATGCCTGTAAGCCCCATGACCGACCTTAAGAACCCAAAACCCACTTTGCTGTAGGTTCTTATTATAAACCCTAAAATGGGATTTATCGGGACCCCACTAAAGAGTAGGTTTTGGGTTCTTAAGGGAGACCCTAAACCCGAAGGCATAACCCTAAACCTTGTAAATGTCGGTTACGGTCCGTCGTCAATTGCTGCTGGGCCACGCAAGGCCTGCCGCACAGTGACAGGTTGCACATCTATCACCGACACCGGTGCCGCCAGTGCTGCAGGACCTGCTTCCAATCGTGCTTTCTTCATGCAGACTGCGTGGGTGTGCTTAGCAGAGTATGACCCAATGTGCGTGCGCGTGTGTGTGTGTGTGTGTTTGTTTTTTGTTGTTGTTTTTTTACATGTCTCTATACTACATAGTTATACGAACCCATCGATCTATCCATGCCAAAAATCCCTTCCATCGTCCATCGTTGCACATATACATGCATCAATATGCACATGGGCATTCAGACATGCCTGCACAGAGCCTAACCAAGAGGGTCCATATATTATACCACCAGTATGGAATTAGGTCACCTAAGACATCCCAAAACCATTATAAGGATGGCCTTTTGGGGCCTCATGCCATAATGGTAGTATATATGGACCCTCTGGGTAACTTCTGTGTTTGGAGTTCGCGTTTCCGGGGCCGCCGATCCCAAAGCTTCCGGCCACCGACTCTTGCGGGGAACCGCGGAAGACTCGCAAAGCCCCGATCCCTGAAAAGATGAGATCATGAAGTAATATATTACAATATAGAAAAATTAGAATAGGATCTTGGGGTATATTATGCTATAAGGAGCCTTATATTAAGGATTCGGAGATAGAATGCCCTTTGGCTTCATGAGGACAAGTATCGTCCAACTTTCCGGCAGGCATTAACCCAACCACCTGTAGCACTCGTTTCGGAGACTACTATCTAGACAACCAAAAACCTCGACCCTAAAACTATAAACCATGAACTACTGTAGAGGCCTTAATAATTAGAATAGGGTTTCGGGGCCCATTTTACTATAAATATAAACAGGAACCCACAACACTCTAGGTAATTACTGAGGCCCCTATATT